CAGAAATTACCTTTCTCTTTCTTCCTCGCCTGGCAGCTTTTGGAGTGGTTATGTCAACAGCTTTAGTCATATCCTAAAATGCAAAACAGTAAACAAACAAACAAAAAAAAAAACAAAAAAAAAAAGAAAAAAGCCACAGATGAAATTGAATAAATTATACAAGAAACAGATTTTATTAAACTAAAATTCATAAAACCAGCTACACAGAAAGTGCTGGGAGAGGTCTCTTTTTACTCTGACCAAATGATGGCTACTAGTATCTTCAGGAAAAAAACTACCTGCTATATTCAGATTTCAGTAAGAATGGCCTCCATAGGCTCCCATCTGTGAATACTTAGTCATCAAGGAGTGGTACTCCTCAGAAGGACTACAAGTTTTGGCCTTGTTGGGAAGTGCATCACTGAGGGTGGACTTTGGGATTTCAAAAGCCCAGAGCTAGGTCCAGTGTCTCTCTATTCCTGCTGCCTGCAGATCTGGACATAGAACTCTCAGCTAATTCTCCAGCACCATGTTTCCCCCATAATGATAATGAGCTAAATCTTTGAAACTGTAAGCAAGTGACAATTAAATTTTTTTTTTTTAATTAAGAGTTGTCCTGGTCATGGTATCTCTTCACATCAGTAGATCAGTGTCCAAGCAGCCTATAATAGATAAATATCTCTACTCAGATAATAACACAGGTAGAAATAAACCTAGGTTTAAAATTTTTTAGTTTAATACTTTTTAAGCACTTCCAGCCCATAATGCTCTTTTTTTAAAAGTATTTTTAATAAATACTAACATACTTTATACTTATACCTGTTTTGCTTATAAAAACAATTTCAAGTAAAAACATCCATCCAAGAGCTAAAGAGAAAGCTCAGGGGTTAAGAGCATAGAGGATCCATGTTTGGTTCCCAGCACCCAAATGATGGCTAACAACCGTTTTTAACTCCATTCCAGGGTGTCTATCCAATGCCCTCCACAGGCATCAAGAATGCATTCAGTATACAAGCATACATAGGAAATTAAAAACTTTAAATCCATGCATCTTAAAAATGCACAAACTATAAAACTCTATTTAATATTTGAAAAATTTTTCATATTTTCATTCACTTTTCAAATATATTGAAGGTTACCTACTACTTTGCCAGTACTTTGCCGTTTTATACTTTTTTACAGTAACTGTAAAAATCCACAGGTAGTACTCAAGATAACCCCAGGCCTAGTCCTCCCTTGTAGTATAATCAATAAACTGTTGTATCTACAGATACATTTTCTTCATTTCTTCTTAGACCAGAAAAGATACAAAACATACTTCATTGCTGGCTTTTTCTTCCTGATCAGTATCTTCCTTTGAAACACTAGTTTCTTTTTCTTCCACTTCAACATCAGATGATGCATTTGACTGTTTGGTTGATACCTATGAAGAATAAACAATTCATTTTTAAGATGGTTTATCTAACTTGAAATTTTTCTACACATGTAAAATCAAAAACTTGTATGTATAGATATGGGAGTACCCCAATTTCTGTTGCAAAGGAAATTTAACACAAAGAATTTTTAAAGTTTTAAAGCAGGGAGTGGAGCTAGCATTTTATGTAGTAAGATACCTACAAGTTTGAGACAATCCTAAACTAAAGAGCTAGGTATAAGCCAAGCTGGGATATGTAGTTAACACCTTGCCTTAAAGAATTTTAAAGCCGTAAATTTAAAGTGAGTTTTGGCAAGATATAAGTACCTCTCAGGAAGACTGAGGCAAGGTTTCCCTTGTAGCCTTGGCTGTGCTAGAACTTGTTTTATAGAGCAGGCTGGCCTCAAATTCAGATCCATGGGCCTCCATCTCTCCAGTGCTGGGATTAAAGGCATGCACCACCACTGGCTTGCTATAATGGTTTATTTTATCTAAGTTCTAGAGTTTTCATACATTCAAGAGTACAAATCACAATATAGAAAAACGTAAGTCACAATATAGAAAAACATTATTAAAATAGTTTCAGGGGACCACAAGATAGTTTAACAGGTAAAAGCACTTGCTAAAGCACATTCAACAACCAACCTGGTAAAAGTAGCTAGAGAACCAACTCCACAAGGTTGTACTCTGTCTGACCACTATACATGTACTATACACATGCACACATTATGCACACACCCATATAAATGCAAAATAAATAGAACAAAAACTATTAGCAGTACCAAGAGAAAATGAAAATGAAACAAGCTGAGCATGGGAATGTGTGCATGCATGCCTTTAATCCCAGCATCTGGATGCGTGAATCTGCGTTTGAAGACAGCCTAATCTACAGAGGAGTTCTAGGGCAGCCAGGGCAACAGAGAAACTCTGCCTTAGATAAAACAAAAAAGAAAAATGTAACAAGCCAGGTAAAAACAAACCACTCTATGAAAATGTAGTACCATGTATAAATTAAAGGCTCTGGGCAGGAGGCTGTTTAGAATTCGTGGAATTTCTATTGGGTATGTAAGTACTTCTGTTATATATTTAATTAATGAGGTCTATTCTAATAACATTCAATAAATCTTTAAAAAAAAAAAAACTAAAGGGCATACGCTTTAAGTTTACAAAACAATTAGGCCATTGAGATGGCTCAGCTCAATGATACAAGCCTGCTGATCTGAGTTTTATCCCCAGAACCATGTAAAGGTGAATGAAGAACTAACTTCACAAAGATGTACTTGACACACGGACAATGACATGTCCCCACCCATACCAAACATACAATGATAAATAAAATTTTAGGGCCCTGAATCTATCAAGACACTGGTTTTGGCTTTAAATTCAATAATAGTTTAAATAAATATTAATCAAGAAGAGCTGAACAACCAAGTGTGTCTGGTTTCTGAGATCTCTCTAGACATTCTCTAATTTAACCACTTAGACACAAACATCAAAGAACAACCTAAAAAGAGCACAGCAACCTGAAAGTCGTAAGGTTCTTCATTTAGTTATGTATTTTCCAGTGACAATATTTTTACTCTAACACTAATAATAAATTTTATAAAAGGACTCACCTGTTGACTTGAAAATTTCACTTTTGGATTGTTATCTATCTCCCACAATCCTTCATTAAAACCTTTTCGTTTATTTGGTTTGCCATACTTTTCCTTATTTTCGGAGTAAGGAAATATGTCCTTTGGTCCTAAAAAAGCACTAGAACAGAAAGGGGAGATGCAAGTACAAAGCAAACTCAATTAAATTCTATATTAGGCTACTAGGTGACATTCAATAAATACTTTATAACAAACGAGTTTTTTGTGTTTTATTTTTTAAGACAAGGTTTGTCTGTGTAGTCTGGCTGTCCTAGATCTCACTCTGTAGACCAGGCTGACCACAATATCTGCCTGTTTCTACCCCCTGGGTGCTGAGGTTATTAAACCTGTGGCCCACAACACCCAGTTCATACAAATTACAAAATAGTTTTAAATCCTAGTGATTTGGTGCAGTAGAAAAAGGCTGATAAAAGTGTTCGGTTTTGCTTTGGTTTAGTTCTGATTCCCAGTTCATATATCTTAATGTAACAACTTAAAAGTACTATGCCCTCCTACCAAACAGGCCTTTATAAACTTAAGTAATTTATAATAACTATACAAAGGGAAGACGTGTTTTATTAATTCTATGTATATGGGGGAGGAGAGATGCACCTGAGTACAGTGCCCAGAGAGACCAGAAGAGGGTGTGAGATTCCCCCCACCCCGGACTTGCGTGCAGTTGTGGGCGGTAGAAGTAACTTGAAGAGCAATTGTGTCTCTTAACCAACACTCCCTACCCCACGGGAAAAAAAAAACACATGTTTTGTATTTGTTTTTTTGAGACAGAATCTCATAAGTAGCACTGGCTGGGCTGGTACTCTATGTATCAGGCTGGCCTAGAAATCACAAATATGCTTGTCTCTGCCTCCCAAGTGTTAGATTTAAGCTGCGTCCCATTAGGCCTGGTTCAAGTTTTGTTTTATTCTTTTAAGATTTATTTTTATGTGCACTAATGTTGTGCCTGCATGTATGTCTGCGCATGCGAGCCAGATCCTCTGGAACTGGAGTTACAGACTCCAGTCTCATGTGGGTGCTGAGAATTAAAACTAGCATCTCTGGAAAAGCAGCCAGTACTCTTACCTGCTGAGCCATCCCTCCAGCCCCACCAAGATCTTTTCTAATTCACACATGAAAGACACTCAGCATCACTATTTAATCACAGAAACATCACTGCAACCTAGCAGCACAGTTATAATAAAGTGACAGTGTATGGCTGGGATATAGTTCAGCTTGGAACCTGCCTAACATATATGAAATGAAACCTGTCTCAAAAAAAAAAAAAAAAAAAAAAAGAAAACTAAAAATATATAAAAATGTTCTGTAGGCAGTCTGGCTGTCTCTTCAATGATTGGACACTAAGTTGTCATTTGAACCAGGAAGTCTGTTTCTAGATAGGTGAAAACATTTGCCCATACAAAGCATACACAATGGATGACTGTATGTAGTTCAGCAGTAGAGAGTTCGGCTAAGCTATGCAAAGCCCTGGGCTAGACCCAGCATCATCAAAAAATAATAATTGTGCTTAAGTGCTCTCATAGCAACGTTCTTCACGTTCGCCAACAGTGGGAAACCACAGATGTCTATCAAGTGATAAATACAACATGGAAAATTGATAGAATGAAATATGAACTGGCACAAATAAGAGAAGCATTATTATATGCTAGTATTAATCTTAAAATATTATATTAAATAAAAAATTAAGTGACTACAAACCTCATTAAATGCTTCATTTATATGAAGCATTTGGCGAAGTGCTTTAAGGGCTGCCTGAGCCACAGCAAGAACATTGAACAAGCGGAAGGTACCTGTTACTATGTCACAGGTTTCTTTTGAAACGATAATCTAAGGTCTACTGGCTAATGTCTCCACTACTTTCTGGAATTGCAAAAACTACTGAATTTCTAGACTTTTAAGTGGGTGAGCTATATGAAATGAGTATCTTAGTAAAGCTGCTGTAATTTTTTTCTTCCCAGAAAAAAAAAAGGCATGGTGGCACACACTTGCAATGCTATTATTCTCAGGAGCTTGGAGAAAAGAAAAATCAGAAATTCAAGATCATTGCCTATACGTCAAGATCAAAATCAGGCTGGACTACATACATGAGAACTGATTCAGTTTTTAAATTGTTTTCAGAGAATACCATTTCCTACTCTCCCACCACTCTGAATGAACACCCAAAAAATCTTAATCTAAGGCCAAAAATGGTGGTATACTTTAATCCCAGAGCGCCAGAGCCAGATGACTGAATTCAACATCAGCCTGGTTTACACAGCAAGTTCCAGGCCAACCAGAACTATAAATTTCAAATATAAATCAATTATATTTGAATTAGTACACTTTTCCAAATTACTACTTTCCTATGTTCCTCCTTCCCCATATCTCTAACTCTGGATTATTACAATAGACTTCCATCGTTGAAAAAAATCCAAATTTATTCAAATAAATAATTCCCCTCCCAAATTCTGGGAGCAGGAAGGATCATCATACAACTATTTTATCAATAATTTATTAAAAAACATTGTTTTAAAAAAAAGTTAGGTCAGGCCCTCTGCATATGTCATAGCTGTATAGCTTGGTGTTTTTGTGGAATTTCTAACACTGGAAGCAGGGGTTATCTGGGACTCTCTTGCCTGCTTATGGGACCCTTTTCCTCCTACTGAGTTACCTCATCCAGCCTTAATGTGATTGTGCGTGCCTGGTCTTATTGTAGGTTGTTATGCCATGTTTGGTTGATGTCCCTGGGAGGCCTGCTCTTTTATGAGGGGGTGTGAGGTTGGGGAAGATTAGAGGGGGAGGGATTAGTGGGACAGGAGGAAGAGAGGAAACTGCAGTCAGGATATAATATACAAGAAAAGAAAAAAAGTTTGGTGGTAATGCAGGCCTTTAATCCAAGCACTTGGGAAGGCAGAGGCAGATGGTCTCTTGAGTTCTGGGTTAAACAATAATAATAAAGCAACATGTCTTTCTAAAGGTAAATGGTATGTCTGCACTGAATCAAAATATCATAAATCCACTTTGAAACAGCAATATCATTAACTTTAAAAGCCTTTTAACGCCGGGCGGTGGTGGCGCACGCCTTTAATCCCAGCACTTGGGAGGCAGAGGCAGGTGGATTTCTGAGTTCGAGAGTTCGAGGCTAGCCTGGTCTACAGAGTGAGTTCCAGGACAGCCAGGGCTACAAAGAGAAACCCTGTCTCGAAAAACCAAAAAAAAAAAAAGCCTTTTAACTCTTTAACTATATCCTCACTTCTTTGATATTAACTCATTTTCTTCATTAACCACCTTTATTAGTATGGTGCTAGGGAGTGACAATACTTTACCAAGAATTGTAATCCCAGTCCCACACTGACAATCTTTTTTTTTTTGCCCCCAAATGGTTTATTTTTATCTTCCATGCATTGGTATTCTGCATGCATGTATGCCTGACGAGGGCATCGGATCCCCTGGGACAGGAGTTACAGTTGTGGTACTCTTAACTACTGAGCCATTTCTCCAGCTCCAACAGTAACCCACTTAATTTCAAATTAACCAAATATGTAACAGTTTCCAAGTTTATAGAGATCAATCCAGGGTATAATACTCAGTGGTAAAGCAAAGCCTTGGGTATGGTCCTCAGCACTGGGAAAAAAAAAAACAAACATAAAATACACACAATACAAAAGTTCTATTTTTAAATGCTGGAGAAGGTAGTCTTTTTCTTCTACATTTAAGGATGGGGTTGTGGCTCAGAGTAAAAGCACATGGTTAGTACAGACACGGCCCAAGGTTAGAACCCCAACACCACAAAGGAAAGATTTTAACAAACTATGTCATATAAAACTGTAGAATATAGAACCATAAAATCTTTTAAAATCAGAGTAAATTTTAAACCAAAAAGTCCTAAAAAACACCTCCTCACAATAATTTTGGGTTTCAGACCCAGGACAAGGGTCTGAGGTGCATAGTTCACATAGCCTGACCTCCAGGTTCTTCCGGTGTCCCTTGTTCTTACCAGGCATCCCTGGCCCCAATCATGACCATTCCAGCCCAGGAGCTGAACCACCCTTCCCACAGAGCTTCTTCCCTATATAATCCAGATACTTGCTCTCCCTTCTCTCTCTACTTTTTCTCTCTTCCTTCTCTCTTTTCCATCGCCATGGCAACTTCCCTGGCCTTGGTCCTTGGGGCCAATGAACACATCTGAGAGCAGCTTCCCAATAAACTTGTGTTTATATACTCTAATATGGCTTGAATTGGCTCATTTCACCACGAAGAAATAACTTACCAATTAAGATGACTCAAAACTTTGCATGCATCAGAATCTGGGAGGCTTGTTAAAACTCACTGAGCCCCATATGTCACATATGACATGTCCAGGGCAGGTCCTAGGAACATTTTTTCAACTACAGTTCTATATACTGGTATTGTGGAGCTAGCACCACACCATGCAAACCTCTACTCTGATACAAAGTGTAGTTTCTCCGAAAGACCGCTTTCCCTATTGAATTTGTTAGAATGTCTCAAAATTGTAAAATATTACCCTGGAAACAGAAATTCAGTATTTCTTTTTGTTAGTTTTTTTTTTGGAGACAGAGTTTATGTAGCCTTGGCTGTCCTGGAACTAGCTCTGTAGACCAGGCTGAGCGCAAACTCGGATCTATTTGCTTCTGCCTCCCACTAGGGAGCATTTCTTTTCTTTTCTTTTTTAAAGATTTATGTATATCTGAGTGCTCTATCTGCATGTATATATCTGTACATCTGTGTGCTGGAAGAGTATTTCCCATTACAGATGGTTGTGAGCCATCATGTGGTTGATGGGATTGAACTCAGGACCTCTAGAAGAACAATCAAAGTATTCTTAACCACTGAACCATCCACCTCTCCAGCCCCCAGGGAGTTTTTGTTTGTTTGTTTGTTTAGGTTTTGTCGAGACAGGGATTCTCTGTGTAGTCCTGGCTGTCCTGGAACTCACTCTGTAGACCAGGCTGGCCTTGAACTCAGAAATCCACCTGCCTCTGCCTCCCAAGTGCTGGGATTAAAGGTGTGCGCCACCACTGCCCAGCCCAGGGAGCTTTTTTTAAAAGTCATATTTTCATATACAAAATATTTGTGCACCCAACTCTGAATATTGTGAAGGCCAATCCAATCTGAGATCCAAAACTGTGTTTTTAAAAATTATGGACCAGGCAGTGTTGGCACATGCCTTTAATCCTGGCACTCCAGAGGCAGGAGGATCTCTTTGAGTTCAAGCCTATCCTGATTTACAGAGGAAGTTCCAGGATGGCCAGGGCTACACAGTGTGAAATCCTGTCTCCAAAAAAAAAAAAAAAATTATGTAGCCAGGTATGGAATCCCAACACTCAGGAAGCAGAGGCAGGTGGATGTCTACGGTTCAAAACCTGCCAGGCCTACAGAGCGATTTCTAGTACAGCCAGGGCTACAAAGAGAAACCTAGTCTCATAAATTCAAAAATAAACAAAAAAATGTAATGTCAAACAATACCATTAACACAAAATGTCCGTACGTGGCAAATCTACACAGATTGTAATTAGTGGCTGTGTAAGGCTAGGGAAAATAGAATGACCTCAGTGGAAAAGGGAACAATTACACTGAAATCCAATGAAATATACCAAAATCAAATTGTGTACTTGAAACACTGCAATATAAATAACATCTCAGGAAGTTTACCAAATTATGTGTAAATTTAGAAAGTAGAGAAGCAGTAAACAGAAATTAAACCAAATGTTGCCACTTTCATATCACTTAAGAATGCAGAGTGAAAAATAAAAGTAGACTTCGAGTAGAGAAGCTGTCAGAGGACCCAGACCCAGGCCCAATGCCCAGCACCCACCTGGGAGACCCAGGCCCAATGCCCAGCACCCACCTGGGAGACCCAGGCCCAGTGCCCAGCACCCACCTGGGAGACCCAGGCCCAGTGCCCAGCACCCACCTGGGAGACCCAGGCCCAATGCCCAGCACCCACCTGGGAGCTGTAGTCCAGATCTGACACCTCACACAGACAAATGTACAGTCAAAACATATAAAATTAATACATATATGAAAAAACCAGTTCAAAAATACAGTGATAATTGAGATATCCACAATTGTGTTTCGTCCCAGTTAAACATGCTATTCTACAGAAATTACATTAAGTTCAACTCTTGTAGATCATACAGTGCACATAAAGCTAATCAATTCTAGGTACCTAAGAATATAAGGTTTGGCAGTTAGTTGAGACAGCCTCCAAAGCAAGTTCATGTAGTTAAAACGTCCAGCTGTAATCTTGTACAATATTAATTTCTTTCATCCAATCAGTTCTCTAGCTATACATCCACCTGGGAACACAGGTCAGATTGACTCTGGGAGCGATCACAAAGGGCACTGTCTGGCTTCCCTCCTCTGATCTTCCCACCATCTGTGTGGCTAATAAGACCAGACCTCAAACAGCAGCAGGCAGTCTTTATTTTACTAACACTCAATTCCTGGCTACTTGCAGCCATCAGTCAGTCTTGGGATTATTTCCAGCCTAACTTCTTTTTGATCATGTAAGCATCTATTCCATTAAGTAAACTTAAGTTATTTTAACTTTTTTTTTAAACCTTTGAAAACTCCATACATGTACACAGCATATTTTGATCAATTGCATCCACCCCTCACTCCCTGCCTCCAACTTTCCCTTTAATTCTTCTCCCCAAGGTGTAGTGCTTTAAATAAGAAGGGGGTGGGGGGAGCAGGGGGCATGGTGGCTTTAATGCCAGCACTTAGGAGGTAGAGATAGGCAGATCTCTTTTGAGTTTGAGGTCAACCTGGTCTACAGAGTAACAGGACAGATACAGAGAAATCCTGTCTCAAAAAAATCAAGGGGTGGGGGGAGGGAGTATCCAGTCAGGCATGGTGACACAATGCCCACCAGGTCTATATAGTAAGTTCTAGGCCAGCAACATAATGACATTCTATCTTGAACAAACAAAAGACTTCCTAGCATTAAACGGATTTCAGTACATTTTAAAACTTTTTAAAGGAAACTTAAAGGAGCTTATTCTAAAATTCAAACATGACTTTTTAAAGTTTTCTATTTGAGCCCAGGCATAGGCATTTTATCTCCAAACATGGGAGGCAAATAACAAGGTGATCTTTATGAGTTCAGGCTAGCCTGGTCTGCATGGAACATCCCAGGGCAGCCTGGGCTACAAGAGACTCTGTCTTTAAAAGTAAGTTTTTAATTTCATTGTCACTTCCCACTTAAAATTTGAAATTTCTACTTGCTTTTTGTTTTATACCTAACTTCTGCAAGTTAACTGTCATTTCAGATTAAAACTAGCAGGACTTACGTCTCATGGGTTCCAAAAAAGAAAATGGGTAGTTTGTTTGTGGGTGGCTTCACAGCGCCATCAGGAACTTCATCTACCTATAAGAAAAGTCAAATATTTTTAATCTTACAGACCTTAGTACACTTGAGTGAACTCAGAGTAAAGAACCCTAAATGGGTCTAATACAAAATCAAACCGTT